ACTGTCCCTCAGCTCTTCAGCTTAAGGCGAGCACTCTACCACTTGAGCTACAGCGCCACTTCCGGTTTTCTGGTGGTTTATTAGAGATAGGAGTCTCACAGTCTTTCCTTCCCCAGGCTGGCTTTGAACCGTGATCCTCAGATCTCAGCCTGCTGAATAGCTAGGATTACAGGCGTGAGCCACCGGCGCCCGGCCCCCCATCATTTATTTTTTAAAAAATGTGTTAGCTGGGCGCTAAAAACATATATAACTATATTAACTGAGGAATTAGATTTGGATTGAAATCTCATCCTACTTAAGCATAATACTATTTGGCAAATATGGTATTACTGCTTATAATCAAGTGAGAAGAAATTTGTTTATAGAAAATCTGATTTATTAGCTTCTCTATTAAAAAGTAACTATTTACATGCTGGAAATGTAGCTCAGTGGTAGAGCAATTGCCTAAGATGTACAAAGCCCTGGGTTTGACTCCCAGCAATACTTCTATTTAATTTTTTTTTTAAAGACTGTCTATTATCCAAGGCTGTGTGGAATAATGGGAAAAGTTTAAAAAAAAGACAAGCAAAACAAAACCAGATTTCCTTTCTGAAACTCAGTCTGCTTATTTGTTTCAGACTTTATTGTGTCAGAAAACTGTTATTGTGTACTGTTATCTGAGGAGTGCAAAAAAGTGCAAAAACTGTAATAGATGTTGTCAAAAATTAAATATAACTTTAAAGAGGGCCTGGAGGTATAGCTTTAAGTGGTCTAGCACAACATAGCAAGTAAGTGGTCCTGAGTTCAAACTCTACTACCATGGAAAAAAAAATGTTTTAAACCTATAGAGTACAGGGAAAAAATGGTTGGTTTTTTTTTGGACAGTCCTGGATCTTGAACTCAGGGATTAAGCACTGTTCTTCAGCGTTTTTGCTCAAGGCTAGTGCTCTACCACTTTAAGCCAGAGCTCCACTTCTGGTGGTTAATTAGAGATGAGTCTCACAGCCTTTCCTGCCCAGGCTGGTTTTGAACCAAGATCCTCAGATCTCTGCCTCCTGAGCAGTTGGAATTACAAGCATGCACTACTAAAGTTCGGTTTGTCACTTTTATAAAGATCATTTAAGCTGCATTTTAAGCAAATAGATGTTATAGTTATATTTTGTAGAAATTTTACTAAGATTTAACTAACATATATCATAGAATTCACCCACTTAAAGTCATAGAATTTCTGTTATCTATATTATGCACATAATAAGGTGACAATATTTATCAGTTAATGGTTGATTCCACTTGTTGGCTATTATGAATAATGCTGGTACAACTCTAACTTGTATAATAATGTATATATGAACATATTTTCACTGCTCTTGGTTACATACTTATAAATAGATGTTGTATTCTATAGTTACTCTGTTTTACCGTTTAAGTAACTGCCAGATTGTTTTCCAAAGTGGCTATACCATTTTGCATTCTTACCCACAATATATCTTCTCACAATACTTGTTATTATCTATCCTTTAAAAATTATAGCCACATACCCAGAAAAAGCTGGAAGTGGCGCTGTGACCCAAGTGTTAAAGAAGCTCAGGGACAGTGCCCAGGCCCTGAGTTCAAGCCCCAGGACTGGCAAAAAACAAACAAATGAAAAATAAATAAAAATTATAGCCATCCTAGTATCTGTGAACTGTAATTTTTATTTGTTTTTTCCCTGATGGCTAATGATAATGAATATCTTCACATGGGCTTACTGGCCCTTTTATATTTTATTGGAGAAATGTACATTGAGATCCTTTTGTAATTTTTTTCTTTTTTTCTTTTTCTTTTTTTTTGGTTGTGGGTCCTGAACTCTGGGCCTAGGTGCTGTCCCTCAGCTCTTCAGCTCAAAACTAGCACCCTACCATTTGAGCCATAGCACCACTTCCAGATTTTTTCTGCTTATGCGGTACTGAGGAATTAACTCAGGGCCTCATGCATGCAAGGCAAGCATTTTACCACTGAGCCACCTTCCCAGCCCCACTTTTGTAATTTTTAAAAACAATTGACAAGTAAACATTTTTAAGGTATATTATTTAATGCTTCAGTAGTCCACTTTCTAAGTCGTTCATTACTGAATAAAGTTATCTTTTTATATTATTTTATATTTACAATTTGCTTTACCAGATGTATTATTACAATAATTTCTTCCTATTTTGTCCATGTCCTTTTATTTTCTTGATGGTTTCTTCAAATTACAAAGGGTTTTGGGTGTTTTTGAAACAAACACCAGGTACTGCCCTTAAACTTACAATCTTCCTGTCTCAGCCACATAAGTATTGGAATTACATAAATGCACTATTACGTTCTTGTATTATAAAAGCTTTTTTTTAAATTTTACTGAAGACCTGTGGCTCACATCTGTAATCTTAGTTATGCAAAGGTTGAGATCTAAAGATCATAGTGTGAAGCCAGTCCATACAGGAAAGTCTGTGAGATTATTATTTCCAATTAACCAGGGGGAAAAAATGGCCAGTAGTAGAGTGGTAGAGTGCAAGCCTTGAGTTCAAAACTTTAAAAAAGCTGGGTGCTGGTGGCTCACACCTGTAATCCTAGCTACTCAGGAGACTGAGATCTGAGGATCACAGTTCAAAGCCAGCCCAGGCAGGAAAGTCCAAGAGACTCTTATCTCCAACTAACCACCAGAAAACCAGAAGTGGCTCAAAGTTGATAGTGCACTAGCCTTGAGCTGAAGAGCTCAGGGACAAGGTTCAGGCCCAGAGTTCAAGCCCCGTGACTGACAGAAAAAAAAAAGCTTAAAAAAAGTTTATCATTTTGGTAATTTTCACTTTACTTTTTTCTCTTTCTGTTTTTATGAAGGTATTGAAATTGAAATTCATGGGAAGTCATAAACAAAAATTTCACTTTACTAATTTATTGCATGTTGCTGGGCACTGGCGGCTCATGCTTATAATTCTAACTATTCAGGAGGTTGAAAGCTAAGGAACTGAGTTCAAGCCTGGGCATGAGACTCATCCCAGGGGCTGGGAAGGTGGCTCAGTGGTAGAGCGCGCTTGCCTTGCATGCATGAGGCCCTGGGTTCGATTCCCCAGCACCACATAAGCAAAAAGAAAAAAAAAAGAGACTCATCTCCAATTAAACACAGGGACACACACACACACACAGAAGAAGAGCTGTGGCTTACACACACACACACACCCAGAAGAAGAGCTGTGGCTTAAGTGGTATTGTGCTAGCTTTGGACTAAAAAGCTCAGGGGTGGGGCTGGGAAGGTGGCTCAGTAGTAGAGCGCTTGCCTTGCATGCATGAGGCCCTGGGTTCAATTCCTCAGCACCACATAAGCAAAAAGAAAAAAGCCGGAAGTGGTGCTGTGGCTCAAGTGGTAGAGCGCTAGCCTTGAGCTGAAGAGCTGAGGGACAGTGCCCAGGCCCAGAGTTCAGGCCCCCAGAACGGGCCCAAAAAAAAAAAAAAAAATGCTTAGGGGCAGTGCCTAGGTCCTGAGTACAAGCCCTGGGATCTACACCCAAAAATTAGAAGAATTGCATATTGGTAAAATTGTATACTTACTTTATTTGCAGTCAAGAGAAGAAAGCAGAAAGCAGGCTCTTGCAGCTAAAAGAGAAAAAAGAAAAGAGAAGAGAAAAAAGAAAAAAGAGGAGCAAAAAAGGAAACAGGAAGATGAGGAAAGCAAACCTAAAGAGAATTCAGAACTACCAGAGGACGAGGATGATGAGAATGATGAAGATGGTAAGAAATGGCTCACCTGAATTAAAGATAAACATTCTCCTTTCAATCTCATTAAAAGTGCTTTTTGTAGCTGGGTGCTGGTGGCTCACACCTGTAATCTTAGCTACTCAGGAGGCTGAGATCTGAGGATCACGGTTCAAAGCCAGCCAGGGCAGGAAAGTGAGACTCTTATCTCCATTAAACCACTAGAAAACTGGAAATGGTGCTGTGGCTCAAGCAGTAGAGCGTTCACCTTGAGCTGAAGAGCACAGGGACAGCGCCCAAGTCCAGAGTTCAAGCCCCACAACTGACAAAAAAAAAAAAAAAGTGCTTTTCATTGTAGTTAATCCCAAATATTTGCTTATATTTAGCCAGGGGCCGGCAGCTCACGCCTGTAATTCTAGCTACTCAGAAGGCTGAGAACTTAGGATCGCGGTTTAAAGCCAGGCTGGGCAAGAAAGTCTGTGAGACTCTTATCTCCAATAAGCCACCAGAAAACTGGAAGTGGTGCTGTGGCTCAAGTGGTAGAGCGCTAGCCTTGAGCTGAAGAGCTCAAGGCCTAGAGTTCAAGCCCCATGACCGACCCCCCCAAAAGTTTTTTTTTTGGATAGTTTTGAGTTGAAGTTGATAGCTTATTTTATGTTAAATAGTTCTAAATGTTTTATATCATTAACTAATATAAAGAAACAGAAGGGAGAAGTGCATAATTTAAAGAAGTTCAGTTTTAATTTAAGACACTGTAAAACACCTTGTATATACTAAAAACAATAGAACTGTTTTGCCAGTTTTCTATCACACACTTCTCTGCCTAACTTCCTAGAAACTAGGGAAGAGGTACACTTATTCAATTAATTCTTAGCCTAGATTCAGCCTTAAAGTTATAGAAAATATACATATTAGTAGAGCCTGGAGTTCATTTCCCTCAGAGTCACTTCTGGTGCTGTCTGGCAGTTCTTATAGTAGGCAAATTTGCTTTCCTTCTAGTTCTAAAATACTGTTAGAGAATTGTTTAACCTCAAATTATATTGTGGTTTTTTCATTAGTTCATGAGACTTGCATTCTGATCTTAAGAGGTGTGCATATTGGACAAGAAATTAGATATTAGAATGTTCTAAGTAAAAGTTTCTTCATTTATTACCAAAAGGAAACTATAGCCTAAAAGATTGAATTACTATAAATTATGAAGTAGAGTTTGAGGTCTGTGGCTCTCAATGTAATTTTTGTCCTTTTTATAATTTCAGTGGAGCAAGAAGTTCCCATAGAACCACCTAGTGCAACTACCACTACCACAATTGGAATCTCTGCAACATCTACCACATTCACAAATGTGTTTGGGAAAAAAAGGGCCAATGTAGTGACAACCCCCAGCACCAATCGGAAAAATAAGAAGAATAAGACAAAAGAAACCCCTCCCACAGCACCTTTAATTTTACCAGAACAACATATATCTTTAGCACAACCAAAGTCGGATAAAAATAAAATAAATGGAGAACCTAGAGGTGGTGGTATAAGTGGGAATAGCGATTCTGAAAACTTGGATAGCACAGACTGCAATAGTGAGAGTAGTAGTGGTGGTAAAAGCCAAGAGTTAAATTTCACTATGGATGGATCTGCTAGTGATAGGAGATGTCCCACACTGATCCTTAATTCCCAAGAAGAAAAGACAATTGCTGCCGCTTCAAAAACTCCAACACGGTAATTTATTTTGATTTGTTAACTCTACATTCACCTTTGTTTTTTCATACTTGGCACAAAAATTTAAAGTACATCTAAACACTAATTGTATTTAACAATTTTAAGCTTATTCCTTTGTGTATATGAGAGAGAGAGAGAGTGTGTGTGTGTGTGTGTGTGTGTGTGTGTGTGTGTGTGTGAAAGAGAGAGAGACAGAATACTGTAGCTTGAACTCAGCCCTCTACTCTTGTTTGGTTTCTTCACTTATACCTGATGCTCTGCCACTTGAACCATGCCTCCAATTCCAGCATTTTGCTGGTTAGTTGGGGATAAGAGTCTTTCAAATTTATCTGCTCTGACTAGCTTCAAACCAATTCTCAGATCTCAGCCTCCTGAGTAGCTAGAATTAGGGGTATAAGCCACCAGCACCTGGCTCTTTGTATTCAATTTTGAAAACTAACATTTTTTAATTTAAATTATATTTTTATTATCTTTAAGCAGTTGTACAAAAGAATTCTATTCAAAAAATCAGTTTATGAATACAATGCATCTTAATTGATGTCATCCCTTTCATCATTCTCCCCATCCCTCCTAACCTAACCCCTTCACTGGATTTTCTTATTTTTTTAGGATGTATGTTGAATTTTATGACTGCTCCCCCCCCCACCCCCACCCCCACACACAACCTCTCTTCATTTGTTTGCTCCCCTGGATGCCACCGTCCATCCTTCAAGTATCAGTTTCCTGGTATTCATTTTGTTGGACTGTGAATTAGTTTTTCTAACTTTGAATTCTCTCCTGAAAATATATTTTGGTTAATACATTTTTTGTACACTCACATACAAACCCATTTATAAATTAGTTCTAGCTTCCACATATGAGAAGAAATGTATCCTTTGTCTCTCTGAGCCTGACTTACTTTACTTAAACTTAATTTTTTCAGTTCTATTCATTTCTTGGCAAATAATGTAATATCATTCTTCCTAATGGATGAATAAAATTGCATTTTGTGTGTGTATATATGAACACTTTCTTGATCCATTCTTCTGTTGAGGGGCATTTGGACTGTTTCTCGACGTTGGCTATGGCGAATAGTGCAGCAATGAACATGGTTGTGCACATGGCATTACTGTATCCTGATTTGTAGTCTTTTGGATAAATGCCCAAGAGTCGTATTGCTAGATTATAGGTGGCTTTGTGCTTATTTAGTAGATTCTTTTGGGTTTTTTTTGTGCTGGTACTGGGGCTTGATCACAGGGCCTGGGCACTGTCACTTAGCTTTTTGTTTGTTTGTTTGTTTTTTATTTTTGGGTCCGGTTGAGGGGCCTGAACTCTGGGCCTGGGTGCTGTCCCTCAGCTCTTCAGCTCAAGGCTAGCACTCTACCGCTTGAGCCACAGCACCACTTCCTGCTTTTTTCTTTTTGCTTATGTGGTGCTGAGGAATCAAACCCAGGGCCTCAGGCATGCAAGGCAAGCACTCTACCACTGAGCCACCTTCCCAGCCCTCACTTAGCTTTTTTGCTCAAGGCTAGTTCTCTGCTTGAGCCACAGCTCCACTTCCAGCCTCTTAAATTCTTAATTGGAGATAAGACTCTTGCAGACTTTCCTGCCCAGGCTGTCTTTGAACTGCAGTCATGATCTCAGCCTTTTGACCAGGTAGGATTACAGATGTGAGCTACCAGTGCCCAGCTTTATGTTTAGTTATGGGGTTTTTTGTTTGTTTTTGAAAAACTTTTTTTTTTGGGGGGTCCAGTCGTGGGGCCTGAACTCTGGGCCTGGGCACTGTCCCTCAGCTCTTCAGCTCAAGGCTAGCGCTCTACCACTTGATCCAGAGCGCCACTTCCGGCTTTTTTCTTTTTGCTTATGTGTTACTGAGGAATTGAACCCAGGGCCTCATGCATGCAAGGCAAGCGCAAGCGCTCTACCACTGAGCCACCTTCCCAGCCCTGTTTTTGAAAAACTTCTAAACTCCTTTCCAGAGTGGTTGAACAAGTTTACATTTCACCAACAGTGTATTAGAGTTCCTTTTTCCCCAAATTCAAGTTAGCATCTGTTATTTTATATTGTTGATGATGGCCATTGGAACTGAGGTGAGATAGAATTTGTTGCTTTAATTTGCATTTCCTTTATGGCCAGAGACTTTGATTATTTCTTCATATGTCTATTGGCCATTTTTACTTTTTCTGAGAGTCTCTAATGGCTTTATTATGTGAATTGCCCATTTATTAAGTGGGTTGTTGATTCTTTGAGGGTTTAGTTTCTTAAGCATTTTGTATATTCTCGTAAGCCATTGTCTGATTATTGCTAGCAAAGATCTTCCATCTTGTAGACTGTATTTTTAACTTGTTAACTATGTCCTTTACTGTGCAGAAACTTCTTAATTTGATATAATCCCATTTGTCCATCTTTTCTTTGATTTGCTGAGCCACTGGAACTTTACTAAGAAAGTTGCTGCCTATGCCAATATATTCTAATGTTTCTCCTTCTTCCTGTAGTAGTTTCATGGTTTCAGGTCTTACATTAAGGGCTTTGATCTGTTTTGAATTGCTATTAGTATAGGATGACACAGCCATTTTCAGTTTTCTACATGTAGATGTCCAGTTTTCCCAATACCATTTGTTGAAAAGGCTTTTATTCAACCTGTGCTTTTGGCTAACCTATGAAATATTAAATGGCTCAACAGCCATTTAATGGTTTTATTTCTAATTCTTCTAGGTTTAAATCTAGGCCTTTCTGTTCCATTGGTTCTTGAACCTGGACTTGTGCTAGTACCAAGCTATTTTTGTTACTATAGCTCTCTAGTAGAGTTTGAAGTCTGGAATTGTTATATTTCCAGCACTACTTTTTTTTTTTTTTTGGCCAGTCCTCGGGTTTGACTCAAGGTCTGGGCACTGTCCTGAGTTTCTTTGTGCTCAAGGCTAGCACTCTACCATTTGAGCCACAGTGCCGCTTCGGGCTTCTTTGGTGTAAGTGGTACTGAGGAGTCGAACCCAGGGGTTCATGCATGCTAGGCAAGCATTCTACCACTAAGCCACATTCCCAGCCCCAGCACTACATTTTTTGCCCAGGATTGTTTTTGCAATTTGGGGCCTTTTGTGGTTCCATATGAATTTTTGAATTGTTTCTCTCTCAGTGATGAATGGTCAAAACTTTTTAACAAAAGACTGGCCAGTGGAATTCAACAACTAATTTTTAAAAATCACACATCAGGTGCTAGGAAGGTAGCTCAGTGGTAGAGTGCTTGCCTTGCATGCATGAGGCCCTGGGTTTGATTCCTCAGCACCACATAAGCAGAAAAAGCCAGAAGTGGTGCTATGGCTCAAGTGGTAGAAGGCTAGCCTTGAGCTGAAGAGCTGAGGGACAGTGCCTAGGCCCAGAGGTCAAGCCCTACGACTGACCAAAAACAAACAAACAAACAAACATACATCACAGTCAAGTAGGATTCATCCTAGGCATGCAAGTCTAGTTCAATATATGTAAATCAGTAACTAATGAAATACAATAGCAGAACAAAAGACGATAATCACATGATCATCTCACCAAATGAAGAAAAAAACCTTTGGCAATATCCAACATCCTTTTATGATAAAAGCTCTAGAGAAGTTAGGAATAGACAAAACATAATAAAGGCCGTTTATGACAAAACTACAGCTGAAATCATAATTGTAAAAAAGCTAAAACCACTTCAGGAACAAGACAAAGATGTCTGCTTTCTCCACTTCTTTTCAGTATAGTACTGGCTTTCCTAATAAGTGTTATAAGGCAAGAGAAAGTCATAAAGGGGACCAAAATACAGAAGGAAGAAGTGAAATTGCCCTATTTGCAGATAATATGCACCTATACCTAAAGGACCCTAGAGACTCCACCCTCAAGTTCCTAGAGCTGATAAATAACTTTGGCAAAGTAGCAAGGTTTAAAACCAGTCCACAAAAGTCAGTACCTTTTTTGTACTAGAAGATTGAGAGTAAAATCAAGAAAACAACTCCATTTGCAATAGTCTTAAAAAAAAAAAAAAGAAGAAGGAATCAACCTAACCAAGGAAGTAAAGGACCTCTACAACAAAAACTATAAAATTTTGAGGAAAGAAATTGAAGAAGACATTAAGTGGGAAGACCGTCTATGTTCCTGGATTGGCAGAATTAATATTGCAAAAATGGCAATATTGCCCAAAGTAGTCTATAAATTCAATGCAATACCCATCAAAATATCCATGTTATTATTTGCTGAGATAGAGAAAACTAATATGTATCTCTGTCTTCTTAAATATGCTAGTTAAGATTACTAGACATTTTTATAAGATTCAGAATTTGAAGTTGAAAATATTTTTCTTCATTATAGTCTTTTGACTCTGACTCAAATTTAATTTTAAAATACATAATGGACTTTTCATTTTATTTCTCTTTTCCTGCCTTGATTTTATCGATGTGCCAAACTTTAAATCTTTCAGTGCAACTTTGTTTTGAATTCCTTTGAATTTCTGCCTTAAAGTGTATCTTTTGTTGTACTTGTTATTTTCTCTTCCCAGTCTGGAAGGTGAAATGAATCCTAATTCCTTGTCTACAAGTTACAAGTCAGTTTCATTGCCATTAAGCTCTCCAAACATAAAGTTGAATCTTACTAGTCCTAAAAGAGGGCAGAAAAGAGAAGAAGGGTGGAAAGAAGTTGTTCGAAGGTAAGCAACATTAGTCTCATGTTTTTAACTTTCATAAATCATACAGATTCACCACCTCTTGCAAAATGATTGCCTAGTGAATTTGAATGTGGGCATTATTGTAAGCTGCAGTGCTGTACTAAATCTAGGCTATGCTAATACAAAATTAATACAACAAAATTTTTTTATAATTTTTACATAACTTTAAATAACTTATAAGTTGACTTTTATGTAAATTACAAAAGATTTTTGTTGCTATGTTTAAGCTGTTGATATGGTTTAAGATATATAGCATAAGCCGGGCGCTGGTGGCTCACGCCTGTAATCCTAGCTACTCAGGAGGCTGAGATCTGAGGATCGCTGTTCAAAGCCAGCCCGGGCAGGAGAGACTGTGAGACTCCTATCTCCAATAAACCACCAGAAAACCGGAAGTGGCGCTGTAGCTCAAGTGGTAGAGCGCTCGCCTTGAGCTGAAGAGCTGAGGGACAGCGCCCAGGCCCAGAGTTCAAGCCCCATGACCGACAAAAAAAAAAAAAAAAAAGATATATAGCATATATTACTCAGTATGGGTTTTAAGAATGTTGTATGCATCATTTAGTTATTGCAGGTTAATTGACTTGTGGTAGTTGGGAAAGATTTCAATGCCTAGATTATAGTGAGGAAAATGTAATTGTGTCTTAAATAGCAATGTAATTTTTAACCTTTTCTTAATTCAATATAAGAGATCAGTTAATTTCTTCCTTAAGTTTTGAGAATATTATTCTATAAGTGAAGATGTTTACTATTCAAATCCATTTGATTTCATGTGTGGTCTTCACTTTATAGGTCAAAGAAATTATCTGTTCCAGCTTCAGTGGTATCCAGGATAATGGGAAGAGGAGGATGCAACATCACTGCAATACAAGATGTTACTGGTGCCCATATTGATGTGGATAAACAAAAGGATAAAAATGGCGAGAGAATGATTACAATAAGGTAGTTATTAAAAAATATAATTAATGATGCATTGAAATTTCATAACAATGTTTTATTTTTATGTTATCTTTTGTGCTGGTACTGAGGCTTGAACTCAGGGTTCAGACACTGTCCCTTAGCTGACACTCAAGGCTGACACTACTACTTGAGCCACTGTTCCACTTCCAGCTGTTTTTAGTGGTTAATTGGCGATAAAAAGTTTTGTATACTTCCCTGAGCTGCGATTCTCAGATCTCAGCCTCCTCAGTAGTTAGGATTATAGTCATGAGCCACCTACACCTGGCAGAATTCTTTATTTTGTTTATTGTGCCAGTACTGGGTCTTGAACTCAGGGCCTGAGCACTATCACAGGGCTAGCACTCTACCAGTTGAGCCACAGCTCCACTTCCAGCTTTTTGATGGTTAATTGGAGATAAGAGTCTCATAGACTCTCCTGCCTAGGCCAGCTCTCTCCTGGGTAGCAAGGATTACAGTCATGAGCCACCAGTGCCTGGCCCAAAATCGTGTGTGTGTGTGTGTGTGTGTGTGTGTGTGTGTGTGTTCCTACATGCATACATATGTTTGTATATTATGTATGTATGTATGTATTATGCATTTATATCGAGGAGTACTGGGATTGAACTCAGCCCAGTATTTGCTGGCACTATACCCTACGAACCAAATCTCCATGCCTTTTTTTTTTTTTCCTTATTTTTATCAAGATAGAATATTATGAACTTTTCTGCTTAGGCTGATTTAAAACCATTATCCTTCTGCTCTCAACCTCCTGGGTAGCTAAGATTATAGGAATGAGCCCCTGGTTCCTAAAACGTACATACTTTTATTGGGGATGATACAATTAAGAATTTTAAGACTCAGAGTTTGTCTAAAGTGATAGAGAGCTTGCCTATGAAGCATGAGTCCATGAGTTCAAATCTCAGTACCACTAAAAAAAAAAATGGAATGTTATTTAAAGGTTAGGAATGCTTGTTTTTATGGGTTTTTTTTTTATTTATTCCCCAGGGGTGGTACAGAATCAACAAGATATGCAGTCCAACTTATCAATGCACTTATTCAAGATCCTGCTAAGGAATTAGAAGATTTGATTCCTAAAAATCATATTAGAACACCAGCCAGCACCAAATCCATTCATGCAAACTTCTCTTCTGGAGTGGGTACCACAGCAGCTTCCAGCAAAAATGCATTTCCCTTGGGTGCTCCAAGTCTTGTAACTTCACAGGCAACAACATTATCTACGTTCCAGCCCACTAATAAACTTAATAAGAACGTGCCAACAAATGTACGTTCTTCTTTCCCAGTTTCTCTTCCCTTAGCTTATCCCCACCCTCATTTTGCCTTACTGGCTGCTCAAACTATGCAACAGATCCGACATCCTCGTTTACCCATGGCCCAGTTTGGAGGAACCTTCACACCTTCTCCTAATACTTGGGGACCATTCCCAGTAAGACCTGTGAATCCTGGCAATACAAGTAACTCTCCAAAGCATAATACTACAACCCGTTTACCTAACCAGAACGGAACTGTTTTGTCATCAGAATCTCCTGGACTAGGTACTACCAGTTGTCCAATCACTGTCTCATCTGTTGTTGCTGCCAGTCAGCAACTTTGTGTGACTAATACCCGGACTCCTTCATCAGTCAGAAAGCAATTGTTTGCCTGTGTGCCTAAAACAAGTCCTCCAGCAACAGTGATTTCTTCTGTGACAAGCACTTGTAGTTCCCTGCCTTCTGTTTCCTCTGCACCTGCAACTACTGGGCAGGTTCCCACCACTTTTGTGCCCACATCTACTCCTCAAGCACAGCTTTCTTCACAAAAGATAGAGTCTTTCTCTGCCATGCCACCTTCCAAAGAGAAAGTGTCTACACAGGACCAACCTATGGCAAACCTATGTACACCATCTCCTACTGCAAATAGTGGTCATAGCTCTTCCAGCAACACCCCAGGAGTTCCAGAAACTCATCCATCCGGTAGTCCCACTCCTCCTTCCAGTAATATACAAGAAGAGGGACAGCCATCCAATCTGTCTGATTTAAGTCCTGTGTCAATGTCTTTTGCCTCTAACTCAGAATCTGCTCCATTGACTATGTCATCACCCAAATTGGTTACTGCTGATAATCAGGAAACCAGTAATTTACCTCAGTTAGCTGTACCGGCACCTCGAGTTTCTCACCGAATGCAACCCAGAGGTTCTTTTTACTCAGTGGTACCGAATGCAACTATACACCAGGATCCCCAGTCTATTTTTGTTACAAATCCTGTTCCTTTAACACCAACTCAAGGTCCACCAGCGTCAGTGCAGCTTTCTTCAGCTGTGAACATTATGAATGGTTCTCAGATGCACATAAACCCAGCAAATAAATCTTTGCAACCTACATTTGGCCCAGCCACACTTTTCAATCACTTCAGTAGTCTTTTTGACAGCAGTCAGGTACCAGCTAACCAGGGGTGGGGAGATGGTCCACTACCCTCACGAGTTGCTGCAGATGCCTCTTTCACTGTTCAGTCAGCATTCCTGGGTAACTCTGTACTTGGACATTTGGAAAACATGCACTCTGACAACTCCAAGGCACCTGGCTTCAGACCACCTTCTCAGCGAGTTTCTACTAGTCCAGTTGGTAAGTTATCAATAAATAGCATTTATTTTATATGTAATATTGCATAACTTTAAAGAAATAAAAGTGAGGGGCTGGGAAGGTGGCTCTGTGGTAGAGTGCTTGCCTTGCATGAATGAGGCCCTGGGTTCAATTCCTCAGCACCACATAAGCAGAAAAAATTGGAAGTGGCTCTGTGGCTTAAGTGGTAGAGTGCTAGCCTTGAGCTGAAGAGCTGAGCGACAGCACCCAACCCCAGAGTTCAAGCCCCACAATGGACCAAAAAAAAAAGGAAATAAAAGTGAGTTGTAAATAGTAAAGACACTTTAAGTTTGCATGGTGACTAACTATATAGGAGGATCAGAGTCCAAAGCCAGCCTGAGCAAAAGCACAAGACCCTATCCCAAATATAACCTAAAACCAAAAGGGCTGGAAATGGTGGGCTCACGTAGTAGTGTGTGCCTGGCAATGAGGTGCTGAGTTCAAACCCCAGTAATTGGCCAGGTGCCAATTACAGGCTTATGCCTGTAATTCTAGCTACCCAAGAGGCTGAGTGAGACCTGTAGGTTCACAGCTGGAAGCCAGCCTTGGCTGGAGTCAAAAGTGGAGATGTGGCTTAAAAGGTAGTGTGCCAATTGTGAGCAAGGAAGCCAAGAGACAACACCAGGCACTAAGTTCAACCCCCAGTATTCGTAAAAACAAGAAGTGGGGAAGACACTTTAATGAGTGTTGTTAATGGATAAAACAAGTACCTGTAGGTAAATCATTCACGTATAATAAGCTGATTTATATTTGCCTAATATCTTTCTATCTCTTATCATAAAGAGATAATACCTTATTTTCATTCCGTTTTTTTAGAATTAGTGTCTGATTGTATTATTAAATAGGATTTGTGGGATATTTCAAGGATTCCAAACATAAGCTTTTTATTGTTATTTTTATAAAGTGATATACAGAGGGGTTACAGTTACATAAGTCAGGTAAAGAGTACATTTCTTTTTGGACATTGACACCTCTACCCTTGCTTTCTCCCAGTATTTCCCTCCCATTTCCACCCACAAATCGTATAGTTCATTTTTAACATAGTACCCAGTTAGTACCATTGCTATATTTGTACACCCTTTGTCTCTCCACTTCTGTGCCTCACTTTACATTCCCAAAGACATATAAACAACATACAGAACAAAAAGGAAAGAAAACAAAAACAGAAAAATGACGATTTTTTATAATATTTCATTTCAATAGATACTATTTATTTAATTGGTTGTAGGGCTTGAGCTCTGGGCCTGGGTACTGTCCCTGAGCTCTTCAGCTCAAGGCCAGCACTCTATAATACTAATATTATATGGACCTAGTCTTATGAGCTCTAATTTTTAAATAAGTTATCCATTTATTGAAATTAGCCTGTGAGGCATTATATGAAAGATTTAGATAGACTTGGAGCCAGTATTGGCTTAGAGATATTTGGAAAACTAAAAGCTATTTTGCAGAGTTTAAGTCAAGTTTAATTCAACCTGCCCTACTCTGGAAACAAATTTGTAATGTAGCTGACTAGCCTGGTGTGGTGATGCATACATGTAATTCTAGCATTTGAGAGGCTGAAGCAGGAGGATCTCATTTTCACTACCAAGCTGTTTGTTATGTAACAAACCCTATCCCAATACTAAGAAGAGAGAGAGAGGAAATGAGGAGAGAAAGGGAGGGAGGGATACAAATAGATATGTGGCTAACCTAAGAAGCTCTACTTCCACTTAGCATTTCTATTCCAGTTGAACTATCCTATAGCCCATGGTATCTTTTTGCTAGTTATAAACTGTTCCATGTTGTTTAGAATTATTAGTGAGTAAGGTTTTTTTGTTGTTTGTTTTTGCTTTTTGTCTATCCTGGGGCTTGAACTCTGGGCCTGGGGGCCATCCCTGAGCATTTGTACTCAAAGCTAGCATTCTACCACTTGAGTCACAATTCCACTTCTGGCTTTTTGTGGTTAATTGGAGATAAGAGTCACAGACTTCCTACCCCGGCTGGCTTCAAACCATGATCATCAGATCTCAGTCTCATAAGTAGCTAGGATTACAGGTGTGGCTACCACAAGTGCCTCGCTAAAGCTACTTTTTTTTTCTTTTGATTGGTCATGGGACTTGAACTCTGGGCCTGAGCACTGTCCCTCACCTCATCAGCTCAAGGCAAGCACTCTACCACTTGAGCCACAGTGCCACTTCTAGTTTCCTGGTGGTTTATTGGAAATAAGAATCTCATGGACTTTTCTGCCAAAGCTGGCTTTGAACTATGATCCTCAGATCTTAGCCTCCTGAGTAGCTAGGATTACAGGCATGAGCCACTGGCACTGGCTAAAGCTACATTTTTAATAATAAGAAAATAAATAAAAATAACACCTGCTTGAGTAAAAGTTTAATGATTTTTTTGTTTGTTTGGTCATGGGGATTGAACTCTGGGCCTGTGTGCTATCCTTCAGCTCTTCAGCTGAAGGCAAGCTTTCTACCACTTGAGCCACAGCACCACTTCCAGTTTTCTGGTGGTTTATTGGAGATAAGAGTCTCATGGACTTTCCTGCCTGAGCTGGCTTTGAACCGCAATCCTCAGATCTCAGCCTCCGGAGTAACTAGGATTACAGGCATGAGCCACCAATGCCCAGCAATATTTTTTATGTTGATAGTAACCACTTTTTCCAGAAGTAAGCATCTTTTCCAGACCTTGGTCCTTTTCCCTAATATAATGTCCAGAGAAAGCTGTGGAATTTGAGAAGACTACTAAATTTAGATTTATACAAACCAGATAAAAACTGATTTTTATTAGAATACTGAACTTCTTTTAATTCAGTAGTATGTTTTTCCTCCTTATAAGGAAGGGAATACTGGTGGATTTTATTATTTAGCTTTCATGGGAAATAGCTTTCATAGGAAATAGAAAGCTATACTTTGAGATTTTCCACAAAAAAAAGAATGCCAATTTTTATTTTATTTTATTTTTTTTGTCAGTCATGGGGCCTGAACTCTGGGCCTGGCACTGTCCCTCAGCTCTTCAGCTCAAGGCTAGCACTCTACCACTTGAGCCACAGCACCTCTTCCAGCTTTTTCTGCTTATGTGGTGCTGAGGAATCAAACCCAAGGCCTCATGCATGCAAGGCAAGCATTCTACCACTGAGCAACCTTCCCGCCAATGTTTTTTGTGGATATTACTTAGTCAAATTACGTTTAACATTTCTAGACCAATATGGCTATTAATTTTTGTACAGTGCCAACTCAACACAGTAAATTCAAATTATATATGTGTATATTTATATAAAAAGACAAATAATAGCAGAATGTTGTGCATCAGTAAAGACAACAGCTTTTCTGGGTTCTGCAGTCATCTGAACAAAATTAGACATCCATGGCTGGGAATGTGGCTTAGTGGTAGAATACTTGCCTAGTAAGCATGAAGCCCTGGGTCCGATTCCTCAGTACCACATAAAAAGAAAAAGCTGTAAGTGGTGCTATGGATCAAGTGAAGAGTGCTAGCCTTGAGCAAAAGAAGCTCAAGAACAGTGCCTAGGCCCTGAGTTCAAGCCCTGGTACTGGCAAAAAAATAAAAATAAAATTAGACATCCAGCACACTCCATTAATAAAAAGAAAAAAATATTAAAAAAAAACAAACCCCAGTAAAACAAAGTTCTGTTACTGTTATGGTACCTGGCACTATTTTTTTTATTAGCTTCTCAATCATCTGGCAAGAAAATTATTTATTAACATCATTAAAAACAGCTTTGATAAAGCTAGTCACTACTACATATTATAAAGCAGGTACAAGGTATTTTTTTGGGGAGGGGGTCCAGTCGTGGGCCTGAACTCTGGATCTGGGCGCTGTCCCTCAGCTCCTCAGCTCAAGGCTAACGCTCTGCCACTTGAGCCACAGCGCCACTTCCGGCTTTTTTTTTCTTCTTATGTGGTTCTGAGGAATCGAACCCAGGGCCTCATGCATGCAAGGCAAGCACTCTACCACTGAGCCACCTTCCCAGCCCAGTTATTTTATATTCACAGAGGGGTGAGACAGTACTATCCTATGTCTATAATCCTAGATGATACAATAAAAAATGCATTATTGAGACTTGATTCTATTTTCCAGAAGAGGATCCAAAGGATGGTATGAACATAGCTCTGTAAAGAAATGTACTTTCTTAGACAGGTTTTCCTTTCACTAGTGGCACAGTTCTAAGTACTCACTCTCTAAATGACCATCAGCTACAAACCCTTTGAAAATGGAAGGAAACAAACAAACATACACACACAAAAAACCATACCCCACAGCCACTGGATACAAAGATGATTGAATGAAGGCAAGCAAGATTCAATCTAACAATATTTTACCATATCTGTTACATTTAAATGATAAAAGCTCTGCAGAAGGAGATGCCAAAGTTGCCAGACCCAGAATATTTCTTACAATTAGATTTTTTAGGTGATGACCTTTTTTATCAGTGGTGAAAGTGTAGTTTAAAAACATATATATAGGGCTGGGAAGGTGGCTCAGTGGTACAGCGCTTGCCTTGCATGCATGAGGCCCTGGGTTCAATTCCTTAGCACCACATAAGCAAAAAGAAAAAAAGCCAGAAGTGGCACTGTGGCTCAAGTGGTAGAGTGCTAGCCTTGAGCTGAAGAGCTGAGGACAGCACCCAGGCCCAGAGTTCAGGTCCCACGACTGGACCCCCCCCCAAAAAAAAAAATATATATATATATATATTGCCAGTAGACTGAAATCAGGTCATCTCTAGGGTGAAAATGACAATTATTTTTTCCTTGCACAAGTTTTTATCCAAGTGTACCGGGCCTGAGTAAGTTAATAAGTCATTTATTAATCCTCAGTTGTTTTCTTCAATTCTACAGGCAAATGAAGTTTTTGCCTAGTACGTGATAGACTAATTTACAAAAATTATACCTACAACCTAGTATATTAATTTAGAGTACTGTCAAACCTTTTACCTGTAGGCTGAATACAGTTTTCCGTAGGGGATAAGATGATTCAGACCTGGTGCCTGTCATCCTAGTATCCCCAGAGCACACTAGTTAGTACCAGCATGCTATTGATATATGTTGTTGACTTGGGCCACAGAAGAAGTCATGGCAGCCCTGCCATGGTGGTAGCATTTCCATGGCCTTGCCTACTACGTTTATACCATTTTTTTTTTTCAAAAAAAGCTTTAAAGTAAAATACAAAGCCATCTTACACATAACATATAAGCACAAAATCAACACAGAACACACAAACAAGAAATTTCCGGGGCTGGGAAGGTGGCTCAGTGGTAGAGTACTTGCCTTGCATGCATGAGGCCCTGGGTTCGATTCCTCAGCACCACATAAGCAGAAAAAGCTGGAAGTGGTGCTGTGGCTGAAGTGGTAGAGCACTAGCCTTGAGCTGAAGAGCTGAGGGACGGTGCCCAGGCCCAGAGTTCAGGCCCCATGACTGGCAAAACACACACACACACACACAAAACCACAAAAAAAGGAAATTTCCTTCTTTCCCCTTGTTGGGCTTCCAAAGGCTGTGATCCAATTTAAAACTAAGGAGAGCTTACTTTAATTTCTGATTCCCTGGTGAATGAGATAAGACAAATGGGAGATGTATGAATCAGCCTGGACTTGAGCCTGCATCACAAAAATGAATAAGACAAAAATGAATAAGTACAAAAACTTTCAGGGAGAAGACAAAGTCTGTCAAGATGGTTAGAGCAGTAAAGGCATAGAATGGGGAATTTCCAGAGGAAAGAAGAGTTTAATTCCTCAAGAAACAAGAGAACAATTGGACCTTTCTATAATTACAAACATGGAGAAAGTCTCCGTAAAAACTGATCATGAAGCCAGGCACTGGTGGTTCACATCTGTAATCCTAGCTATTCAGGAGACTGAGATCTGAGGATCACGGTTCAAAGCCAGCCCGGGCAGGAAAAGTCCTTGAGATTCATATCTCCAATTAACCACCAGAAAACCCGAAGTGGCACTGTGCCTGAAGTGGTAGAGCCCTCTCCTTGAACTGAAGAGCTGAGGGACAGCACCCAGGCTCAGAGTTCAGGCCCCACGACCAAACCCCCCCAAAAAAAAAGAAAAGAAAGAAATCAGGGGACTGAGAGGTGGCCCAATGAAACAAGATCACTTGAAATGATCTAGAATATCTTGAATCAGCCAGACACACCTGGAATGTCTTCTACAGATCTAGATCCTGCAAGAGGAACATGAAGGTCTGGACACAGAGGTCCTCAGACCATCAGACCAGTTAGCTAATTATGTCAGAAATGAATGAAGGGGACTGAGAAGGTGGCTCATTGTAGAGAGTATGACTTGCATGCTGGGTTCAATTCCTCAGCACCACATAAACAAAAAAAAAAGCCAGAAGTGGTGCTGTGGCTCAAGTGGTAGAGCGCTAGCCTTCAGCTGAAAAGGTGAGGGACAGTGCCCAGGCCCAGAGTTCAAGTCCCACAACTGACAAAAAAAAAAAAAGTAAAAGTGCTGGGTGAGAACATACTTCCTGGTGTGGTATTTGGTAAGTTGGCTATGCCACATTACCAAAAATACAGCTCATGGAATGTGTAGCTTATTCCCTATCTAGAAGAAAGCAGATGACCATTGTCATCTAGAGAGGCCCCTCCTAGAGAGACAATCCTAAACCTTTAGCCTTGGTCAAGGAGAAGCATCTTTCTAGTACCCTAGAAAGATAGCATAGTGCACTTTCTAACTTCCCCCTTGACAACTCTCTTTCAGTGTAGTTTCTCTGTGATCTGTCATCTAGTTTTGGATGTCTCTTATAGCATGGAGTTTTATCTAATTAGATCTGGGATTAGCACAAAGGGGTGGAGGGTGGGGGAGGGCAGCTTAAAAAGACCTGCAGAAAGTTAAAAGCAAAGGAAATGCAGAAATAAGGGGAGACCATACTTGGAATAAGCTTCTCTCCAAGGTATAAGTATGAAGGGAGAATCTCAATCTTATATTGAAAATTGGAACAGTAGGGGCAGAGAAAAATAAGGTATATAAAAGGGGGGGAGCCAGAAGGTCCATATTCTCTAGGTTAAATATTGGAAGATAAATAAGGGCCTCAGAGATTCCTGTATTTATTGTAAGAGAAATTCCAGAGGCCACATTAGTAACATATTTAGTTGGGGTTTTTTTCCTTGTTTTTTGTTTTGTTTTCCCTGGTATTGGGGTTTGTTTTGAATCTTACCAACTTTTTTGCCTGGGCTGCTTTCAAACTGTTGATTTTTCAGCTCTCAGGCTCCTGAGTAGCTAGGATTATAGTCAGGAGCCACTAGTGCTTGGCTTCAGTAACATCAGAACCTTCTTTCTAACAAGAGACAAACAAGCCTAATTCCTAAGGTATTTAGGCAGAAAAAAAAGTCGATCCAAATAGTATGTAATATGGAAAAAGCAGGCTAAAGATGCACAGGAGTATCTGATGGGAATGGGAAGAACCTGATACTTAGTAACCATGTCAGAAGGCAGGGGTAGTACCTAGAAAGAACCTTAAAGCAAGTCATGCCTAATTAAGCTGCCCAGGTATTGGGTAAGGAAAAGGAAGAAGTCAGAGTCCAAAATGTAGAAAAGTGCTGGCATAGTGTAGTGAACAGACATATTCTCAGCCAAGACAGGCAGGGAAGACAGTCCTTACATCTTAGAGAAAGAGATGCAATGAATGTAAATCATATACAGGCTGGCATTTAAGGTCAGAAACAGATGAATTTGAGTCATAGCACCAAAAAAAAAAAATGTTACTGGAGAGTCAGTGCAGCTATTTACCTTCTTATGTCCAGTGAGAGAAGAACTTAGATAAGAAATGTAGTGAAAGTGACAGTAAAGTTTATTAGGAAAAAAATATACTGTCAATAGAATGAAAGCAGGTCATCTTTAGGGTGAAAATGACCATATTCTTCTTGTAAGAAAAGAATAGATTTGTCAGTATCATTAATAGCATATCATATAAATGAGTATTTTGCTGTAAAATAAACTATATGATTCCTTTTTGAAAAAAGTTTACATAGAACCACCAGGCTTTACATGGACCCCGCTTGTTATGTGAATTTACTCTGAGCACACAAATATAGGATGGATAAATGAAGGGGAGAAAAACCTCTTCTAGCCCCAAACGTAAAGAAACTAGAATGAATGAGCACTGATTGAACTTGGATTTTGTTTACAACTCTTTGCATGAGACTACCACCCATTCACCTGCACTGAGATGCTGCTAATGGCCCAGCACCCTCTCGCAGGCCTATATAGCACCTTTGCCTCAGGATCATAGTTGGAGGCTCTTGTGGGGACTGGGATCCTCCTTCATGCTTTCCAGAAAGTAGACAGTCCACAGTCATCTCTGCCACTGTGCCTGTTACCTCTAGGAGATGGTTTCACCTTAAGCTGCCTTTACATTTCCAGTTCATTTTTTTTTATTTTTAATTTTTTTATTGTAAAGATACTATACAGAGGGTTACAGTTACATGAGTGAGGTAATGAGTACACTTCCTCTTGAACATTGTTACCCCCTCCATTGTTTTCCCCCTACCATCCCCTCCCTCCCTCCCTTCCCCGAGGTTCTTTTTTTTTTATTATTGTGATTAAGTGATTACATAATTTCCGGAAATTCACAGTATTGTGGAATAATGATGCTCATTTAAAGTCACAATCCAGTTCATTTTTAAATAAATTGAACCAGGGTCTTATTTATCAAACCATGTCTTAGGAACAGTCCTCTTTCATATGCTGTTAATGCCATGAAAAGCACCTGGAGCTGTCGCCCAGGAAGTGATGAGAGAAGTCACTAATCAAAAAAGGGGTGGGGGGACCGCTGGTGGCTCACGCCTGTAATCCTAGCTACTCTAGAGGCTGAAATCTGAGGATCATGGTTCAAAGCCAGCCCAAGCAGGAAAGTCCGTGAGACTCTTATCTCCAATTAACCACCAGAAAACATGAAGTGGCACTGTGGTTGAAATGGTAGAGCCCTCGCCTTGAACTGAAGAGCTGAGGGACAGTGCCCAAGCTCGGAGTTCAAGCCCCATGACCTACAAAAAAAAGGGGGAGGGGGCTGGGAATGTGGCTTAGTGGTAGAGTGCTTGTCTAGCATGCATGAAGCCCTGGGTTCAATTCCTCAGTACCATATACACAGAAAAAGCCCAAAGTGGTGCTGTGGCTCAAGTGGTAGAATGCTAGCCTTGACCAAAATAAGCTCGAGACAGTGCCCAGGCCCTGAGTTCAAGCCCCAGGACTGGCAAAAAGATAGATAGATAACCCTGGGGCTTTTCATTTTAAAGCCTTGGCTAATGAATGTTTCAAACCTTTTTTATTTCAGGATTACCATCCATTGACCCATCTGGCAGTTCCCCATCTTCTTCTTCTGCAACTCTGACAAGTTTTTCTGGCATACCAGGAACAAGAGTTTTTCTTCAAGGGCCAGCTCCTGTTGGGACTCCTAATTTCAACAGACAACATTTTTCTCCCCATCCTTGGACAAGCGCTTCAAACTCATGTAGGAATCCTAGAGGAATTCTTCAAAACAGTCTTAAATAAGTTATTAAGCCATTAGGGGACTCTATATTATAAGCTGATTAAATAAACAGTAGGTAGATACCTAAGGTTTGTCTTATAGACATGTCTTATAGTTTGTCTTACAAATGTGACAAAAGACATGTCAAAAGTTGTCAGGCCATTTGTAGGACAGAAAACTTCTGCCGATGCCTGGCAGAAGCTTATTTTATATGTCCAGTTTATGATTTCTTTTTTTTTTCTTTTTGCTTATGTGGTGCTGGGGAATCGAACCCAGGGCCTCATGCATGCAAGGCAAGCGCTCTACCACTGAGCCACCTTCCCAGCCCTAGTTTATGATTTCTTATCTATTTTTACATTTTATCAAGGTCTTATTACCCATTATAAGTATTCTTTGCTCTGACTTATTTGTTTCAGTTTTTGTTTTTTTGGGTCCAGTCATGGGGCCTGAACTCTGGGCCTGGGTGCTGTCGCTCAGCTCTTCAGCTCAAGGCTAGCGCTCTACCACTTGAGCCATAGCACCACTTCTGGCTTTTTTTTTTCTGCTTATGTGGTGCTAAGGAATCGAACCCAGGGCCTTATGTATGCAAGGCAAGCGCTCTACCACTGAGATACTTTCCCAGCCCTGTTTCAGTTTTTAGAATGACATAAGTGGAATTGAATTTTTTTTTTTAAATAAGCATCATTGCCTATTGCCGGTGGCTCACGCCTGCCATCCTAGCTACTACGAAGCTGAGATCTGATGAGCCAGCCTGGGCAGGAAAGTCCATGAGACTCCTATCTCCAATAAACCATTCAAAGACTGGAAATGGTGCTGTGGCTCAAAGTGGTAGAGCACTAGCCTTTAGCAAGAGATCAGAGACAGCATTCAGGCCCTGAGTTCAAGCCCCACAACTAAAAAAAAGCATCATGAAGTAGTCACTGTGCTTTTTGATAAGGAAAGCTAACTAAATTACCATAGTCCAATTAGGAAACAAAGCTTTCTCTAAAATCCTACAATAACTTGCTAAATTTAACCTTCCTTACAGGAAAAGGGGTTGATAGAAAGGAGAAAATGGAAAGAACCAACAAGTAAAGCAGTATCTTTCAGTGAATAAGCTAAACATTGCCATGTTGTAGTTTAAATGTAACTGTGGCAGGCACTAAAACTCTTAGGAGGCTGTGTTCTGAGGATCATAGTTTGAAGCCAGCCTGGTCAGAAAAATCTAAGAGATTTATCTCTAAATAACCAGCAAAAAAACAGGAGCTACAAGTGTGATTAAAGTCTTGAGTGAAAAATCCAAGTGAGAATGTGAGGCCCAGTATTGGCACAAAAATTTGAAAAAAAAAAAAAAAACAAATTTAAAGGGGCTAGAAAGGTGGCTCAGTGGTAGAGTGCTTGCCTCGTATGCATGAGGCCCTGGGTTCTATTCCTCAGCACCACATAAACAGTAAAAAATGGCCAGAAGTGGCAATGTGGCCCAAGTGGTAGCATGCTAGCCTTCAGCTGAAGAGCTCAGGGACAGTACTCAAGCCTAGAGTTCAAGCCCCACAGCTGACGAAAAAAAATTTTTTTAAAGAGTAAATGCTTTCCTTCTAACCTTATTAGTTGAGTTAGGGGGGCGGGGTGGCCACCGGGGGAGATGGGGAGAGACTATTTGTGCCAGGCACCAGTGGCTTACACCTGTAATCCTAGCTACTCAGGATCATTGTTTAAACCCATCCCAGGCAAAAAAAAGTCCCTAAGAAACTCTTATTTCCAATTAACCACTCAAAAACTGGAAGTGGCTCTGTGGCTCAAAGTGGCAGAGTGCTAGCCTTGAGCAAAAACAGCTCAAGGACAGCACCCAGGCCCTACATTTAAGCCCCATGATCAACTAAAAGAAAAAGACAAAAGAAAAAAAAAGACTATTTGTGCTTAATTATAGGCAGAAGTAGCCTCAAATTTATAAAAATTACATTTTCATTTTAACTATCTTTTAAAATGAAGCTTCTTTACAGAACTATGTTTGTGGAAGGTTTCTCATATATCTATAGTTTATATATGTAATAAAACAGTAGAGAAATATTTTGCCACCAGGTGACTCTCCTATCCCATCTATTTCTTCGGGATCATCTTCACCTCTTTCAGCTACTTCTGCACCACCAACATTGGGTCAACCAAAAGGAGGCAGTGCCAGTCAGGATCGAAAGATACCTCCTCCAATTGGAACAGAGAGACTGGCCCGGATTCGGCAAGGAGGATCTGTTGCGCAAGCACCTGTGGGGACCAGTTTTGTCGCTCCTGTTGGACATAGTGGAATCTGGTCATTTGGTGTCAATGCCATGTCAGGTACAGTTATCTTGCCCTCTGCAGCAATATCTTAATATCTCAAGGAAGCTGTGATAAATCTTAGTTTAAGCCAAGAATGTAGTGTATACCTATAATCCCAGCACTCAGAAGGCTGAGGCAGGAGGATCATGAGTTCTAGGCAAGCCTGGATTAAATCGTGTGTTCAATATGAACTACACAGTGATATCCTTTCTCAAAACACTAAGGGCTGGGAGTGTAGCTCTCAGCACTGGGGAACACACACACACACATACTTCCTGAACAAAAAACAAACAAGGGCTGGGAAGGTGGCTCAGTGGTAAAGTGCTTGCCTTGCATGCATGAGGCCCTGGGTTCGATTCCTCAGCACCACATAAGCA